GTCGTGAAAGCCTTAGCCTTTTTAAACAGTTTAGTATATTTATAAAGACCATTTTGGTTGTAAAATACTGATCATTTCATTTGTAGTCTTAATTATTACATTATTTCATTGCTGGTACTAATAAGTTTAGGTAAAATATATTCCCATTTTTCTAATTTTTTCGGGTATTTCTAGGAAAATTGCATATATCGTACCATATTGGTATGTTATATATTTTCAGAACAAAAAACAAAGTATAAAATTTTTGTGCTCATAACTTACACACGTATGAAGAATATTTTTTTGTTTTTATACTTATAAATGTTTTATTCATACTGCCGGCGACATCTTTTGTACTTCAAATTAAATACGTTGCGTGACGTCGGAAGGTATCTGTCCAAACCTTCAACAGCCATATATCTCGCTACCACTTCACGCATAGCCAGAGAAGCTACAAAGAAACATGAGATGGTGCTGTAGTAGTGGCGGGCTCTTCTAATTTTACCGAATTAACTTTTTGCTAGTGGCTAAAAGTTCTTTGTCGTCATTCCTATTGAGGCCCACTAAAAAATAATAAGTAAATAGGTACATTACAATTTGCACGTTATATAAAAAATCGATTGGTCGGTCTGCGGTCGACGATGCTGTGTAGTCGTTTTATTCAATTCATCAAATTGGAGGCAGAAGACGGCGCCAACATCAACTCTTCTTTCATTAATTGGAATTGGAAATCAGCCAATTTTTTCCTTCTTATTTTCATTTAACCACCCAAGATTATTCACTAAAAATCACCTCCCACACATCTCCGCTTGTGGTTGAGGGGGGTTGTAAATGTAAATAATTGCCACATCTCCTCAGTAGATTGTGGTGCGTAGTGTGTTGTTTATATATGTGTAAATAAAGCTTATAACTATGTTAATACGTTTAATAATGCATAATAAACTGAATTTTAAGTTTTTATCCTTGTATATTTTTGTAATAAGGGATGATCAACAGCTAAAATAACGTTTCCTTTTAACACCTTGCCCCCCATAAACGCTAGATCGTTAGGGGTTGGGAATGTTTTTTAGATAATTACCGTAATCAATAATTCAGTAACTAAGTTACGGGGGTTGATTTTTACCAGGAAGTTTCTTTAATTATGCTGCACTTTTTCTTCATGTCTGTGTTTGGATAATTAGCCCGTAAAAAACTGACTGAGAAAACATTTTTACGTCTTAGTATTGTACAAATAAGTAACTAATTTGGATTTTATGTAAAAAAACGTCTTCTTTATATAAAGGTGAATTTTACTCAAAATGTTTAAAATGAGTTGCAGTCTTGTGTCTATATGGGTCCAAAACCATCCAGAACTAATTTTGGAAAAAAATATAGTAGGAGAAATAAACCGATTCTCAATCAGGAAGAATGAAGGGACAAGGTGTGAGGATTACCTTAATCTTGAACTGTACCTTATTTCCCATTTATTCAGAATCGACTGAGGAGGATTAAAGAACAATGTCTTTGCATTGTATTTGTCCTTGACCTTGACCTCTATTTACTTCCCCCGAATTAGAATGGCCAAGTGCATTCTTTTACTCCCCATCGAGTACTTGTCTTCACTGATTATGTGCGTACGAGTTATAAGACAATTTAGTCCACTAACATTTACATTTTTGTAATTATTACGTTACCGGGATTCATTTTCTACACATTTATTTATTCAATTATTTAAATACATCTTATTATACTGTTAAGTATACTTTGCAATGGTCTTCATTCTATGACGGTGATGTATAGTGGTTTGGGTTATTGATCGGGAAAAGACCGGGACGTCAGAAGGGACATTCCGGATCTAGACTGGCAACACGACAAACGAAAAATATTGGCAATACTGTGTAATCATTATTTCGATCTTATTCCAAGTGCAACCCAAATTTAGACTTTTTGAATAAATTTAATTATTTTATTTTCTATAATACTAACAAAAAGACAATTTTTGATGACCTTCTTGACCTTCTTCTTCTAAATTAACGGTATTGACCAACAGAAAGTAGCCTCTTTTCCACAGCAGTTTTTCCTCTCCATAGCAGTAAACTACACTTGCTTCTTGTAGAAGAGAATGGATGAATTCATTGAAGAAGTTATATGGTACGTCCCCCGATTCCCAGCGAAGACCATAATCTAAATGGATGAGATGCCTATTTTCAAATCTAAATGTTGCTGTACATTTCAAGGTAAAGGTGGATCGAGGAGAAAGTGATGCACTTGATGCTCATGAATGTACGGTATGGCAACTTCTTTAAAGATAAACTTGTATGACCGCTACTTCACAATCGTTGTTAGGAGTAATGTCATAGATCTTACGGTAAGGGATGCACAAAAGTTAATGTGGGGACTGAAGAAGCTTCCTAACATGCAGTTTAATATGCGCAATCGGGTATTCGATGTTTTAAGTGGTTTTATTACATACATCTAGATTTCCTCCAAGTTAACGAAGTTGACCCCCAGGTGTTCAAGATAAGGACATTCAGGTATGCGTCTGAAGAAGTGTAGGTACATAATTGTTACCTTGCCATCAATCAGACATTCGTGTATAGAACAGATAAAATAGAACAATTAAACGTATAATCATTCTGTAAGTTAAAACAAGTTTTTCACTTTCTTGAACCGAGATGCTGATGCCTTGGTATTCGGCAGGTTCCTAGCCAGAGGGTTTGGATGTAAGGACAGCCTGGCTTTGTAGTTTCTTGTGAATGTCGGTGTCTCTTCCTTCACCGTGGGTATTAGGAGATCATTCCGAATAATGTCATTTGGAACAAACCAAGGAGCATCCTTGGACTGAAATCGCTCAATGATAGCAATGTTCGAGTCAGCAGCTGATCCTCACAGCTGTATTCCATAAATCCAAATCGGTTTAATTATACATTTGTAAATTAGTAATTTATTTTCTGGGGAGAGGACTGATCTTTTATTAAATAACCAATACAGCTTCCTCACTGTAAGATCCAGTTGCTTCCGTTTATTCCAGACATGCGACCAGAAGGATTTAATAATACCCGAGATTAATTTGCCAACTTTATCAATGCACCTCGAGTAACATTCCTTCCTCAGTCTGACACAGACCCAATGTCCTAAGACGCCTAAATTCAATATAATCAGCTTCAAGATGAGATAATTTCCAGCGCGTATGTACAGGTCGGACGAACGAAGCTGGCGAGCGGTCGCGAAGGTACTTGCCCATTTATGGCATCGGAAAATAAATCACTCGGTACCGATTCACAAATAAGCTTTCAGTAGGCGTAAATTATTATATTAATACAGAGTACAGTAGCGCACTAGGAAATAATATAGAAACATAACTTATCTAAAAAGAAAAAGTAAACCTAATGCTTTTGTTTGTTTTGTAGTTAGTTTTCATGTTCACTGTCCTCATCGGAATCACTGTCACCGACATCAACAATCGGTTCTTCTGTTTGTATGTCTATTACTTGTTCATTATCTAACATAACATTTAAATAAATCATGTTAAACTAAATTATTGCGCCTATTTCTTTTTAATATAACCTTTAAATATCTACAACAAGAAAACCAAATGAATTAGTTAATTCTTTTAATTTAATTGTGTAAGTTGATCATTGCTTTTAAATATTTAATTTACGCCCCTGATATGGATACTGGAGAAAGAAGGCTGTAATTGTTATACCTAAAACTACCTACTTTTGTCACCGAGCATCCACTTCATTTTAAAATTTCCGCCAGCTTTGAGCGTTAGGTCTGTACACGAACTTTGTTTTTAATAGTATTAATAAGCTAGGGATCTCGATAAATTACTGATCAACAATTTAATATTGTATAGTTAATTGGTTTGCGTACCTTTAACACATATAAGGTGTGTGAGCTATGACATTCAACATTCACTGATTTCTACTTCTCACTAAAACATAGGCTGTCATATTTTACAGTTACTATGTTTAACACTCTGTGCAGGTCATGTTAAAATTTCTTTAACTGTATTTATCTATAAATGGCAACATACAAACTTAGAAAGGTATTAATCAATGTAACTACATGAAACAATTTGAATTTGGTCGGTGATGAAAGGAAACTAATAATGGTATAGTAATAAACATTAAATGATTTAATAGATTGAAACCTTAAACATTTAATATTATTTGTAAACTGATATATATAACATTTAAATATATTTAACGAGTTTTTACTCATAACTTGTACAAATTTTAATGTATACATATAGGCATAAATGCTACACGCCACAGTATTAATGCTCCTAAAGGACAATAAAACTTCAAATTCTTAAATCTTAAATTGACAAATATTGGTACATAATTTAACATAGAACATATACACACGTAAAAATAAAATACAATATAAAATATAAAGCGTTTCTCAGCATTTCTTTTCTTATAATTAGATAATACTACCATAAAAATAAATATCGAATCTAACTGTTATACCTTATATAAATTTTGCTTTCATGAAATTGTATTTTTGAGAAAAGAATTATCGTAGTATAAATTCCGGAGATGTTTTCAAATTGTTATAGTGCCTATCTAGTAATTTTTAATAAATTTATTTATGTTCAAAGAGACGAACATTAGGTATACTTCGTTTAGTTTCTCTAACGATGTGACCTTTAGTTTGATCGGCGCAAAGTAGAAAAAACAGCACTAGGCCAGAAAAGAAAGGAGACAACTCCCGGCCAAACTTTTAACCGGTGAGGAGCGCATAATCCGTACAGTACTGCACGGAAAAATTGACAATTTTATCCACTAAAATTGAACTGCTCAAATGTGGTGTTATTGGAACCAATTACTACTGAAAATATCAACGAGATCTTTATTTATATTTGAAGACGTATTAAAGGCTTTAACGTTTGTTTTCGACTCGCTCTACTATTCATGATTGAACAAAACTTGTGGCAGGTACTGTATGAAAAAATATGTTTAATGAACAAGAGTCGAGAGTATAATGAGCTTTTTTCTCCCTACCTACGATTTTGCCAGCGCGCATTCAAGACATTGGAAGGGGCACATCGCTAGAGAAAGTAAACGAAGTATACAGTAGTAAAAATTATCAAACATTAATATAATTTTCATGATTTTATTGCCTATATATCTCGACTTGCTTCTTCTATTTCATCAATGTTGTAACTTTTATAGCTCTTTGGATAAGTAATACAGCAGATTACGATTGTATCATTATAAGTAGATATTAATACTTTCAAAATAATAATACGATATACTATACTGCATTTCCGTTTTCTTCTTTGCTTTCTTGAACCTCAAATTCCAAAAATCCATCCACGTCAATCAGTTCTCTGGAGACGAATTTGGCAGCAATAGTTTCTCGTCCAGCTCTTTGTGGCTTAAATGTGAACTGTGCAATAGCACGTTCATTCGGTGGTATGTTTTTCTTCACTTTCAGAGTCAACTTCTTCTCCAGCCCTGGAGCTTCCACTAAAAATTGACATTTTCTTAATGGCAACGGTAAAGGATTTACCAAGTAAATTTCAGCCGCAACTTCTTGGCCGGCTCTGGCAACTCCTTGTAATGCTATTTTGATATCGGGCATTCGGACTCTAAAATCATCTTGCGCGTAATATTCGTACTTAGGTTCCTCAACAGCAGCCAAGCAAGATACACTAAACGATCCCTGGTCTACTAATTTTTTCATGTAGTCGTCGAACGTAACGTTAAGTTTTATTTCGTGAGTCGATTGTGGTTTAACAGTGATGTCAAAATTTTCTTTCTTTACAGGATCTCCGCTTCTTCCGGTGTACGTCACGGTTTCTACTCGAATATTAACGTTGATTCTGTAAGCTTTGGCTGGATTTCTGTTCTTGATTGCTAACACCACGTCGAAATCTTTTCCAATGACGATATCATCTTTCAATTCGAAATTGAAGTAAACGTCGTTGAAATCTTCATTAAGGTAGTATCTAGCGAACTGGTTTTGTGACTGCCTTAACGCTTTCAGCATAAAACTGCGTTCTTCTACCGACTTCTCGGGGTATTTGTAATTCGACGTGATATCTTCCCTGTCCATTATTCCTGGTGCTTTTGTGCTCATTAGTTTTCCAATTCCGTAAATATCTTTCGCGACTAATTTTAATGGTTTTGTAGGTCCGTAATATCTCCAATACACCTAAAATAAAAGAATATAGTAGAGTAAAATTATAGGTAAGTTGTTGTCTTCGCTGATAGGCCGTGGTCTGTTGAGTTGTTTTCCCGACGTTTCATCCACAATTGTGGTGGACATTATCAAGGGCGATGTCGAAGTCTTCTCTGCTACAAAACGGCGACAAGTGCACTTGATAATATTCACCACAATTGTGGATGGAACGTCGGGAAAACAACCTAACACACCACGGTCCATCAGCCCGGATAACAACTCATCTATATTCGACGCCGGTCGTGAAAGCCTACAATCAACATCGATTAAAATTGTTTTATTATGTAGATTCACCATCATGCTAATTGAATATTAAATTTATATTATAAAGAAGGTCTGATAATACTCCTAAAGTTCGAAACAGTTGCGAACGAATTATGTTTGTTTATATAGAAATAATATTAATTGATATCTAAATCATCCTAGGCGCTTTTTATCGATGGATACATTTTATCGCAATTAAATACTATCTGTAGTGTCACGTGTAGGCATACTGTCACCTGTACGCAATCCAACATAACAAAGACGATCAGATTTTCTAGATGCCACATTTTGGATATTTCTAGAACAAGTCCAGCCCCTATAAATAGTTGACGCGTGGTCGCAAAAGTCAGTTAGTCCGAGTTTCAACAAGGTGATACAAAGCGAAATAAGAAGAGCGACGTGTTTGATTACGTGACATTTGGTGTCAGGTGTGCGGTAGACGAGTATTAAGGAAGAAGAAGGAAGGTTTTTGGAAAATTCCATCGAATATTCAACATTTTCAATTTTACAGCAAGTTTCTACCGATCGCGAATAATCTCAACAAACCACATTTACTGGAAAGCTCTCGAAGAGAGAAGAAAGAATCTGACGTCATTGAAAAATTCTATCGAATTTTCTAGTAGTTTAAGAAGAAAAAGAAGCAGACGTGAAGATGGGACAGGAAAAGTTAAAAGTAGCGGAAAATGGAAACAAAAATAAATAACCTACAAAAAGCTAAACTCGTGAGAATGCAGGAAAAGATAAATGGTATTAGATATGAAATGGAAGAGAGGATAGAACAAAAGGAAATCAATATTGAAAAGATGATAGAAAGAAGAAAAGGAAACTATGTGAAGAGTGCTCCTTCAATAAAACACGGTAGTCGGAAAACTCAGAAAAGATCAGCCAACTTCATGGGGCGCAAATTAGCTCACAGTCTCCAAGCTCCCGAAGAAGTGGTCATTTCAAGACTTGACGGAACTAACTCAAAATACAGAGAGGATCTATTAATCACCATCATATGAAAATAGTTATCCAATACAATCATTTGACTTGATGTGGTACAGGAATGAAGAATTCGACCTTTGGCGAGAAAGGACTGATCTTGACCACAGTTACCAGAGAGACCCAATCCATGGGAAATGCAACGTAGAAATTGGTGGACGACATAGTAGATGTCATCATTGGATTGGATCTGCTTCGAGAACATGGAATCCACTTGAATATCAGTATTTCTATAATGTGCATCGGTGAAGAAGTTATAGTATTGTCAAATCCCAAGATGAAGCCTGCTGTATATAAGGAAGATCTAGTACTAACGAGCCATACGAGCATTGTACGAATACACAAACAATCGCGACGTGACACAGGAAGCATTATTGGTGGGATGTACGATCGTAAGGAATGGGGGATCATCGACACTTGTTGGAATAGTCAAAACAGCAAGAGATCTGCAAATGGAATAGTCAAAACAGCAAGAGATCTGCAAAGGCACAGAATTGGGAATATTTAAACCAGCAGCTGAGATTAACCACTGTGACTGGGAAGAAGAATCTAAGACAAAATCAACATCGCTTCCTGCAGCTTTATCAGAACCGGTAAAATAACCCAGTCATCACCTCCACAACCCCCCAAGTCAAGTAATTAGAAGAGCTTCCTAGCCATTTTCAACATGTCTTCGTCTTTTTAGATTAAAACTTCGGTAGAACCAACTTAACACACTACCGCATCAACACCGAAACAATAACGTCCATTAAAGAACCACCTAGAAGAGCTCCTTGGACTAAACAAGAGGAATTGAATAGCTTTGTAAAAGACTTGCACAAATAAGGAGTGATCAAGCCATCTAAAAGTTCTTGGGCTTCTCCTACGCAAAAAAGATGGTTCCACGAGATGTGTGGACTACAGGATTTTGAATAAAGTAATGCAGAAGGACAGGTGTCCGTTACCAACTCCGAAGCGTCATTAAAGTCTTCTAAAAATTGGTATAATGCTGTGCTTACGAAGCTGCGATTTGAAAGTGACCGCACGAAAACTATATACGATATACTTTTCTACATCTATATCTGTTTTAAGTAAGGTCCAAAATTTACTAGAAAAAGTACTGATATGATTTAAAATAATAAGACAGTACTTAAAAAAATCATTTAAAAAAAGTATAATGAAAATCATTTTCAGAAACTGCAGATAAATATTTACCTTATCGGCATTAACTTCAGCGTACAAAAAGTCAGTGTCATAGGGCCTCTTGATTTCGCCATGTTTTACAGCTGTGACTGAAGACGGTCCAACTTTAAACATTCCATCACTCAAAACCTGTGGTGTGGCATCAACTGCTTGCCAACCTCCGTAACCTCTACCCAAATCTGGTCTATCCATCCAAACTTCGTCCCATACATGGAAATTCCAAACCGAATCAGAGTTGAGTTCTTCCATAATTTTTCCTTTATCGTTAACAAAGTAATCAACTGTCAATGAGCTTTGTGTATCGTGGGCAGAAGAATAATTTGTTACTGGTCTACACGGAATCCCAAGTGTTCTGCAAACTAAAATTGAGTATTTTTTTATGTTTTTAATAATTTAATATTATTATCGATTTTTTATTAAGAGTACTCCATTCAGTATTTTTTAAGTATAAGGGTGTCTACTAGAAGTTATTTAGTATTTTTTAAACTACGGTTTGCTAGGAAAGCGCTGGCGTACCTAGGTACCTAACAATGTAGGGGTCTTCATATAAGGGGGCAATATTATGGCCGTTGTAGCAGAAGTGGCCACAGAAGTAAAGTTATTACTAGATCTATTAATTTCAAAAAATCGGTTGTCTGTAAAGTCGGTTTACTGACGATAGTTGAACGTGACAACGTCATAAGGAAATACTGATGGAATGGTTTCATTTTTCAAAAGAAAATTTTAATTTTATTTGTTTGATAGATATTTTGTATGGATATAGAGAAGGAGGTAAATGGAAATGTATTATTGTATAGCAGCTGTCCACGCGG